TTCAATTTCTGGAATTTCGGGAGTCAATTGTGTTGTGTCTGGGTTATCTGTGTGATCCATCGTTTGCTACTGAAAAAAAAAGGAGAAACAAGACCAAACCGCTAGTGTTCCTGGTGTCGCTCTCGTATTGTTGTGTCCATTGAATCTGGTGCAATCTGTCCCGTTATTGCCAAATCCTATTGAGTCTTGTGTGACAACATCTGGTTGTGTCTTGTTGTTGTTATCTCCACCACTTGGGACCAGCAAATCAAAGTATCAAACGGTGCTTATAGTCATAGGAATTTCTGTGCTTATTCTTTCTATCTTGCCGCACTTGGTGTTGTTTTCCTTGCACTGTCCAATCTGACGAATTGTCTCCTTATTGTTAGTGCAAGTCTATTGTTCAGTGTTGTTGTCTATTGCCTTCGTGATTAAGTGCCAAAACTGAGAAAAAAAAAACAGAAGAAAGACCCGAAGAGAAAAAAAATTACAGCTGCAAGGACTTTCTCTTGCTTCTTCATAGCGTGTCTTGTGGTATCGTGTGCAAACCTGCCTAGAAATTTCGGTCACTAGTTGGCTCTAGTTTCTGTCCAGCGTCTGGTTTAATGCGTGTAGGGTCTTGTGTTGTTTGAGTCGTGAATCAAAAAAAAAAAAAAAAGAAGGCCAGTAGTTAATCCTTTTCCCTTGCTTGTTCGGTTGCTATCTGCAATCTCCAGGTTGTGTGCGTCGTGTCTTGCGTTAGTGCAGATTTGTATCACCGCGTTTGTGCCTAGTTGTTGTCTATTGTTGCTCAGACTCGCTGTCCATTGCTGTGATTGGGTCTTGCTCAGAAAACAAGAATATATATATATATATATAGAACCAGCCGCTAGTCTTATTCTTTGTAAAAAAATTCTGCCCGTCAGTGTTTTGGTGTCTTTCTTGTGCCGTTTTAATTTCTGGAAATCCTGGGAATTATTTGTGTTATTCTTAGGCTATTTGTTTGGTAGTTACATCATTTGGGTTTAAACAAAAAAAATAAAGAGGAGGAAGAAAGGCAAGAAATCTGGGATACATAGCAGTCCAAGGCATACTTTTTCCCAAGTGAGATTCGGATCTCCACTAACTCCCAAATATGAGTACCTTCCAATTCCTTGTTGGACACTAAATTGGGAACTTCGTGATTCCCAAAATCTAACAACTAGATCCACCGCCCCTACCACATACACAACCCAAACAGGCTTCCTCAACCGACCAAGTCAGCTCTAGGAAACTCCCCAAACACATAAACCAAAGCTGCCAATTCCAAACCGATACTATACCATTCCTTGTGCTGACCAGAAACCGACACTAGCACTCAATTTGTCCCAGTCAGCTTTATTGTGTTTTCAAGTGTCCAAGTAGGTTCTAGTTTCAGCTTTGAGTCGGTTAGGACAGGGGTAAACATCCCAAGAAAATCAAGCAAAGCAAAAGGACCATCCTCCTCGTCGACTAGAGCTTTTGAGTGTCCTTCTTAATTTTTGTAGCTTTTGTGCCCATTCTTTTTCCAGTTTTTATTCTTGAATATATTATACCACTCCATTCTTAGTGTCTTAATTTTGTTTTCCAAGCAAATCTCTACTCTTACGAACCTCAAATTCTAGCGTGAACTTGTTTTTGAGCTACACTTGAGCACTTGAAGAATTCTACTTTCTTCAAGGTTTGCAAGGGGCTGTGAGAAAATCTTTGGTGAGGACTACTTGAGGGACAAATTAGAGTGAAAACACGAGTGACGAGTGCATACACGTGAGCTTGTGTGTTGTGAGAAATTTCTCTTCTCTGCTAACCAATTTTGCAGGTCACTTAACCATGCCTCGTGGAGTTGCATCTCATTCATATCATCAAGAATTCTTAGAGAACGAGCCTCTAGTTCCACGCGTTCCATCTCCGAGCATTCACAACATGAGTTTCATCCACTTCAGGAGGAAATGGATCATTTTCGTGCCTTGTGCGTAAATGAAAGATATAAGCGTACTTGTAATGAGTATGAGGAGGAGCAAAGGAGTTTGCGTCGAGCATCTAAGGCAAGGTCTTCATCAAGCAAACGAGCATCATCTAAGGAGTGTTGTGACAATCGAGTCATGAATTCTCGAATTGAATCAAAGCCTCGTGAATCAAAGGCTGATTTCTGAAGCTGGAATAAAGAATTATTTGACTCTATGATGGGAGAAATTCGCCAAGTGCTGAATTCATATTTGAGCAACTTACTCATATGTCAACCAATGGTGGTAAAGATGTTCCTTCTAGTCCACCATTGATTGAAGAAATATCTATGAATGCTAGCAATGAACTTGAGATTGAAAACCTTGAAGTCCCATCTACACAAGTTAGTTGTCTTGAGCTAGTTGAGAAGGAAGACAAGGGAAAAAGTGCGCTGACTTTGGGAAACAATGCGAGGGCTTATTTTTCTAACGAACTTACCTTTGTTATGTTTAGCTTTTCTTCTTTTATACAGGTTAATCGAGGAGAGATTGAGTTGATCATGGCATGTTCTATCCCTATATCCATTGGCGAATATCAGAATTTTCATGGAGTTTGCATCTTAAGTGTTGTATCCCTTTACTATCCATTGCTATACAACTTCACCCATGAGCCTACTTTGCTTGTTGGGAGGAGTAATGAAGTTTCAAAAGGAGTCCTTGCACTTGAATTTTGTCCTTTGCCTCCTTACCATTTTGCAACAAGTGTCCCAAGTGATGATCAATCTAATGAAGTCGATCATGTTCAAAGTGTTCTTCAGTTTGTCAGTTGCATTATGGAGGATCCAAGAAGATGTGAGCTTGCTGCCAATGTACCATACATTTTACCTTGCATCATGGAACCGAAGCTATATGCGTTATCTTCAAGGAATCGTTGGAGTAAAGCCTTGACTTTTCCATGGCTGATTGTGAGCATTTTCAAGCTTACCAAGAGACATGTGCACCAAATTATAATAATCATGACGTATGTAAGTATCATTCATTCTAAGAGAGCCAATATGTGGAGATTTGAGGTTTCATCCTGCCAACTCTTGTTAGTACCATTCATTTCCAACCACGATTTGAGGACAAATCTTTTTCAAGAGGAGGGGAATGATACGAAATATGGGCCGCTTATGGGCCATGTTTCGAGCTGCAAGAGAATGAATCTTTTAGTAATAGTTTAGTAGTTTATTTTTCAGATTTCTATTTTATTTGGTAGGAATAAGTTCGGTCCAAGACCTCATGTTGAGTTGGATCCGATTTATAGAGTCTAGGCTCACTATTACTTAAGTTGGTTAATTAGCTTTTATTGGGTTATGTTGGGCCAGCTTAAAGCCTTCATTGGGTCAATTATAAGCTGTCCATTAGTTAGCCCTAACTATGATTAGTGAGTCATTAGTTTAGTTGTCAAATCGAATAAGGAAACTTGCATTGTTTCCAACTTAGATTAGGTTTGCTTCTTTGTAAGGCTATAAATAGCCAAGCTTTGATAATTTAAGGGTCAGACACTTTTATCATAAAATATTTGAGAGAATTTTCTCCATAGCTTTCGAGCAACCCTTGAACAACGTAGAGTTATACTCTAGTGTTCTTGTTTGGCTTATCAATTCAAGAGCCAGACTTGAATTGTGGCGCCTTCTACACTTGCCTGAGGTTCGCTAATTCGTTTGATTATGGGTTGAGATAATATCAACAAGTTCATAGTCACGGGGATTAGAGGGGTCGTAAGGTTTCCGCTGCTACCGTTTCTTGCGTTCGAAGTCAAATCCAACAAGTGATCTTGGTCGCGAATCTTCTCACCAACGAGATTCGTATCAGTAAAGTTCACCAAAGTCACTATCTTGGGTATAGAGCTCTTTAATCAACTCAAACCCTAACAACTTAGAATCGAAGGAGGTGAGTAGAGAGTACCTTCGGAGAGTGCATCCGCAACCATATTAGACTTACCAGCTTGTATTTAATCACGTATGGAAAGGACTCCACGAAAGCGATCCACCTTGCGTGCTTTTTGCTCAAGTTGTGCTGGGCCTTAAGGTATTTAAGGGACTCATGATCAATGTGTATCACGAATTCCTTAGGCCTTAAGTAGTGGTGCCACACTTGTAGTGCTCGAATGAGGGCATACAACTCTTTATCATAAGTTGAGTAGTTCAGTGCAGCCCCATTGAGTTTCTCACTAAAGTAGGCAATAGGTCTCCCACCTTGGTTCAACAAAGCTCCAACCCCAATACCTGAAGCATCACAATCAATTTCAAATGTCTTAGAAAAGTCAGGTAAAGCAAGTACAGGTACATGTGTGAGTTTGTGCTTTAAAGCGCGAAAAGCCTGTTCTTGAGAATCTTCCCAATAGAAGTTCTCATTCTTCTTGATCAACTCGGTCAAGGGCGCAGCAATGGTGCTAAAGTCCCTCACGAATCTCCTATAGAAACCCGCAAGGCCATGGAAGCTTCGAATATCGCCCACAGACCTGGGTGTTGGCCACTCCTGAATAGCTTTCACCTTTTGATCATCTACCTTCATTCCCTGCGCACTTATAACAAACCCTAGAAACACAAGCTCATTAGTGCAAAAATTGCACTTCTTGAGATTGGCATAGAGCTTCTCTCGTCGAAGTACATCCATAACAGCCTTAATATGCTCTAGGTGTTCATCATAAGATTTGCTATAAATTAGGATATCATCAAAGTAAACTACCACAAATTTTCCTAAGAATGGACGTAGAACATGATTCATTAACCGCATGAAGGTACTAGGTGCATTAGTTAGCCCAAAAGGCATCACTAACACTCATACAATCCATACTTAGTCTTGAAGGCAGTTTTCCATTCGTCCCCCTCCTTAATCCTAATTTAATGGTACCCACTCTTGAGATCAATTTTTGGTAAAGAACACAGCCCCATGTAACTCATCAAGCATATCATCTAAGCGAGGTATAGGGTGGCGATACTTTACCGTAATGGCATTGACGGCTCTACAATCGGTGCACATTCTCCACGTACCATCTTTCTTGGGCACCAGAATGACTGGAACATGCACACGGGCTTAAACTCTCACGTGCCCAGCCTTTGCAAGCAACTCATCCACTTGCCTTTGCAACTCCTTAGTTTCCTCCGGGTTGCTCTTGTAAGCTGGCCGATTTGGTAATGAAGCTCTAGGTATGAAGTCTATTTGGTGCTCAATGCCTCTAAGCAGTGGTAATCCATTTGGTATGTCCTCGGGAAAGATATCAGCATATTCCTGCAAAAGAGACTTAACCTCAAACGGGAAGTTAGTATCAAGTTCATGCACATTCTGAGCTACTTCTTTGCTAACAAGCATAAGAAGCAGTTGCTCATCCCTTATTAATTTCCTCACTTCCTTGGCTTTTATCAGGAGCATTTGTTTTCCCTCGGGTTTTACCTCACTTGCCGAGCTATGTAAAGCCTTTTTCCTCTCTTTTTTGCCTCGGCTTTCTCATTTTCCTTCTTTTTTGCACTATACTTCTCAAACTCTTGTTGCAATTTCAATTGGTCGTCATGCACTTGTTTTGGAGAAAGGGGAGTTAGGGTGACTTTCTTACTATTGTACAAGAAGCTATACTTGTTAGTCACACCATCAAAAGTTACCTGCTTGTCAAACTGTCACGGCCTACCTAGTATAATGTGACTAGCCTGCATAGGAACTACATCACATAATACTTCATCAGTATATTTATGAATTTGAAAGGATATAAGAACCTGTTTGGTTACTCAAACCTCCCTAGAATTGTTGAGCCATTGGAGTTTGTAGGGTCGCGGGTAATCCCTTGTCGGCAGCTTCAAGTTGTCTACCATGAGTGAACTAGCTACATTTGTGCAGCTCCCACTATCAATAATCACACTATAAAGTGCTTGATTGACGAAGCACCTAGTGTAGAAGATGTTCTCCCGTTGCAGCTCGTCCTCCTTAACACGGGCAGTTAATGCTCTCCTTGCAACCAAGGCGGTCCCAAAGTGACCCTCGGTGCACTAAACTCCTCATCATTTGGTGACTCACCATCACTACCTCCTTCAAGGGGTGGCATGCTTTCGTACTCAGCTTCATCCTCGCTCACGATCTCGCCATTTGCATCATGACCATAGTCCTTTGATTGGGACATTGACTAGCAATATGGCCTCTACCCTGACATTTGAAGCATCGAGTATCACGAGCTCTAGTTTGTGCCCTAGGCTCCTCAAATTTTGGAGTAGAAGTGGATGGTTTACTAACACTAGAATTGCCCCCTTACCTCCCTTGAATCTCGGCTTGGGTGTAGGCACATTTGACGAAGGCCGAGAATCATTTCGTGGTTGGAATGGCCGGTTGCTAGAGTAAGTGGTATTGCCGAAATTTGATCGAGTAGTACCCCTCCTCTTGAGCCTTTGTTCGACCTTAATGGCCTTGTCGACAAGCTCTTGCAACTCCATGTAGTGTTGGAGCTCCACTCGTTCAGCAATATCGGGTCTTAACCCGTTCAAGAACCTGGCCATGGTGGCTTCGGGGTCCTCTTGTACGTCTGCTTGAAGCATCAGGATCTCCATCTCCTTGTGGTACTCATCCACACTCCAGTTGCCTTGGACTAAGGTTTGTAGTCGGTGGTACAAATCCCTAGTGTAATGTCCAGGCACAAAGCGGGTGCGCATCATGGCTCGAAACTCGGGCCATGGAACGAACTCAGGGAGCCCATTTCTCCTTCTAGACTTCTTGATTTGGTCCCACCAAACCACAGCGTATTCAGTGAATTCCATGGTTGCCAATTGCACCTTTTGCACCTCGGTGTAATTTTGGCAAGAAAAGACCATTTCGGAATGGTTGAGCTAAATCAACAAAGTTTGGGGGAAGATTAAAAGACAAAAGAAAAAAGAAAAAAAAGTCTCAAACAAAAGATACAAGTTGTAGTTCACTTTTGAAGTCAGAATAATGGAATGAATGACTTCTATTTCCACCAAGAAATATCCTTGTAAGAAGGGAAATTCTTCACTAAGAAAATCCTGAGACAGTAAACATACATCTTTATTTTCGCTCATTGCTATTCCATTGATCATATCAAATGCCTTGCGGACCAAGCGCTTCCTCATGATACGTATCTTTCACGCAAGCAAATAGAAGATCATTAGTACAAAAGTTGTCAGAAGACCCAAAAATATAAGAAAAAAGAAAATTCGTAGAACAATTAGAGTAAAATACAATACCCACCCCAACACTCCCCCCCCAAAAAAAAAAAGAAAAAATGAGATTATTCCTGTAACCAACAAAATACACATGAAATGAAGAAATAATTCATAGCACTTACAATACGACTTTCCTGAAGGATTTCACGCGAGACATTCAAAGGGAGGTCATTGGAGTCCACAACACCCTTGATGAAGCTCAAGTACCGTGGGAACTGTACATTCACAGGAGAGGGATGCCTATCAGATATCATTTATGTAGAGCCTGCAGTAATCTCAAACTAAGCACTTCTTGCTTTCTTACCAATTCACCATCAAAGTCATCTGAAATGAACACCCTTTTGACATAGAGCCTTATATTCTTTGTCTTGGGATTGATTATATCATCCTTTCCCATGGGGGCAATTGAAGGCACATAAAGTATGGACCTAAATTCCACTTCGCCCTACCACACACAGAAAGAAGGGGTTAATGCTTACTAATTGGCCATTAATTGCAGCATCCAAATGAAGCATGAATTATCCAGGTGGATAAATGAAAAGCCAATTTTTCCTGTAAGATGTCATCTTGTTCAATTAAACATAATTTACACAAAACCCTCTGCTTTTCTACTGCAACCATGATCAGTTATTTCATCACATGAGAACCAAAAGTGTGCTTATTATTTTGTGAAATAATTTGGCAAATGTTATTAGACATGTATTCAAAAAGGGCAGTAGACTGTGTAAGCAAAATTATTTCACTAACCGAACAATAATCATACATGTTAGTTAAGCTACCTTCTTCCCAAACCTATTATTTATCTGTAAAATTACATTTTCTTCCAAACCCTTGAACCAGACCTCAGCTTATTTTAGAATCTATAACTACCTCAGTAGTAAAATGAGTTGATGCGAGAGGCTCCAAGTACTCATTGAAAGTCTTCTTGTAGAATTCATTATACTCCTCTGTGCTTACTTCCTTAGGATTTCGAAGCTGCAAAAAGCAGGAGCTACTTAGAATTCCCACAAACAATAGCTAGCATAATAGATAGCAGATTAGAGACTGACCCATATTGGTTGAGTCTCATTTGTAAGGTCCCAATCCCAGTATTTCTCAACAACAGTCTTGGTCTTCTTCTTTTTCTGTTACAAATGAAGGATTAAGATGTCAGAAAGATAAACATGTAACCCATGGTGGAACTACAGCAACAGTAGCAGATGAATACCTCGGTCTTGTCACCTTGATCATCCTTCTTGGCCTCAGATGGGTCCTCATCCACCTCAACCTGCAAGAGAGCCACAAGCTCATATCAGAAAGGCAAGAGTAAAAGGTTGGCCAACTAGACAATTGCAGCACTTGACCATCCTTCTGTGCAAGGGGTATAGGAAATAAAAATGGAAGCCAACATGTTGAAATCGATAATATTTATCTTCTTTCTGCTGGACACCAGGGAGAGATGAGCAGTCCATTGGAGCAATCAACGATACCCCAGAAACAGTTTGAGATACTGTACCTCTTTTGTGTATCCCTTCTCTTGCCAGGTGTAAATTGGGAAAGAAACAAATTGGGAGTAGTTCTTCACAAGCTTCTGAACTCTTTCTGGATGAGCAAACCCTTTATCGTCACGCTGGTTAAACGTAACAAAGCAGGAGTTCAAAACATATACTGTGAATGTCTCGAGCATGAGAAAACATGTAACAATTACGGGTAACCTGGCTACCTTCAGATATAAAGTAAGTCTAGTCCCTCTAGGAACGAGCTTTGCAGGGTCAGTCTCCTCTCGAATGGTATAGGAGCTAGAGTTGGCCTCTCCTTCCCATACATATTGTTTATCAGATTTTGGGCTTTTAGTCGAAACTTCAACCTTTCAATGACAAGGGCAGACAATCTAAGACAAAATTACAAGAACACCAGGCCATGACTTGCAAACTTAAAGACAAAGTAATTTCCAAAATAGCATGCCTACCCGTTCAGAGACAAGAAAAGCTGAATAGAATCCAACACCAAATTGGCCAATTAAATTACTGTCACCACCAGAATCCTTACTCTCCTGTAAAACAAAACACGTGACAGTAAATACTTGCATTCAACTACTAAGACAACAAAGCACGGTTTTAGTTGGGGGAGGTGACCTTCAATGCTTTCAAGAATTTTGCTGTTCCACTTTGTGCAATAGTACCAAGGCAGTCAACAAGTTCCTCGCGGGTCATACCAATTCCAGTATCCCTGGACAGAGCAACTTATGTTATGACAATTTGAAAGCAGAAAGGGGGAAAAAAATGCACAATCTGAATTCAACTCACGTGATTGTAACTATGCCATTGTCTTTATCAGTTTGGATACGAATATCAAGATCAACAGCATCCTTCAAAAGCTCTGGCTCTGTAACACTAAGAAACCGCAGCTTGTCCAAGGCATCGCTCGCATTGCTATAATTCAAAACAGCTGATATCAGGCTAATTGTGTATATGAGATCAATATTCATATTTGTGTCAAGAGAGTGTAATATTCCTTTCTAAACCTGATAAGAAGCTTCAGTTATACACAATCAGCATGGTATAAATTAAATATGATTAAAATAATATCAGCGATTAACATATACAGGTATCATAAGATAAGTCTCCAAAAGACCTGATCATCAGAAGCATAAAGCACCCATAACTCATACTAAATTCTAAAACAATCCAAACTACTCATTTTGATATCATTAAGAAAAGTAATAAAACTTGACAACATCATCACAACAGTAACTTTATTTCTTCCCTCCAACAACAACAACAAATGCTGCATGGGAAAAGGAGGCACCGTGTATAACCAAACCAGCTGGTAGTGATACACTAAAAGGTGAAAAGAGAACCAGGGCATGCCTGATAAGCTCTCTAAGAAACACCTCCTTATTACTGTACAGACTGTTAACAATAAGGTCCATCAGCCGGCTCACCTGTTGCATAATAGACTACTAATTAGTTATTGAAAAAATAAAATTGCTCTCCCCATATAATTCAGTTAATCAGGTCAAGTGATGCTCACCTCCGCTTGGTACTCATACTTTTCAGGTGGAGGATTGGAAGAGGAATCAGATGCGGCTGCAGTAGATTCATAACGGATTCTCAACAAATGGTGGCTGCTTCCAAAGTTAAGTTGCTTAATGGGTTTACCACAATTAATCTGTCTGGTGGTTAAAACCGAGTACCATCTCACGTTTTCATCATTCTCCTCAGCCTGCTCAACAATTTCCCAGAAAAAACAAAATCAACATAACATTAAAAAAAAATCCAAACATCATGTAAGGACAAAAAAAATGAAACAACATAATGTACAAACAACTAAATTCAAAAAAAAGATACAACTTTTTACCAAATTTCAAATTTTCTACTCTGATGACTACAATATAGCTGTAACTTTTCTTTTTATTTCCTTCATTTAATTTTTTTAATTTCTTTTTTTTCTTCCATACTGGAAATTGAAGGTCGAAAAAGACGGACTGCTATCAGAAACTATTACAAAAATGGAAATAATTCAACAAATCCCGCAAAATAAAACTCCAAAGAGAACAAATTCACTTTCAATTTCACTGCCACTGATTCGCTTGAAAGAAACAACACACCACCAATAATTAATACCATAAATCCCAACAAAAAGCTTTAGGTCTGCATATATTGTTCTCTATTACGAAACATACTGATTTGTGGAAAATATTGGAAGAAGAAATTGAGGCAGTAGCATTGCGGCAACGCCTGCAGCCACCGGCGCGAAGGATGGTGGAAACTGAACGCCCAGAGAGCCTGTGCATCTTCTTCTACACCGCTTTATGATACTGAATCGAAAAATTTGAAGAGGGTTGGAATGAATTACGGTAGAAATTGCTTGTTCGATCGTGCGAGAAGAAATAAAGGTCTGCAATGGGGGAGTAGGGTTTTAGGAGTGCAGTCCGAAAATCGTTGGAAGCGGTGGGGAGTTTAAAGGGTTTAAGCTTTGGCACAGAAGCTTCTGGAGAGTGGTTTTAAGTCTGAGGAGACTGGAGAACAGATGCAATTTTTTGGGGTAATTAAGACTAATCGCTCGGGGGCCGGGCCTTATATTATGATATTATCTAAATCTATTAATCTCGTGATTTAAAATAACCTAGAATGTAATCCCTTTGTTATGGTTTTATGGCCGTTTTCTAATTTTTTTTTATTTTTATCTCATGGTTTAATTTGGGCCTTTTTATTATGTTTCTTGGTTTTGGATTTTATATTGTTTGGATCTTAGGCCCTGTCTGGAACATGAGTTTTTTAGAAATTTGTTTAAAATTTTACTGTAGTATACTGTATAAGTTTTTGAAAAAATTTTTCAATACGAGAAACTTTTTTTCCTTTTCTTTTTTTTTTCTTTTTCTCTTTCTTTTTCTTTTTTTTTCTTTCCTCTCTTCTTATTCTTCTTCTTTCCCCCTCTCCCTTCCCTCCCCCGCCACCCATGCCTCCGACGTTGAAGAACCAGCAGTCATGGTCCAAAATTGTTTTTCCTTTTTCTCTCCCCCTCTGCTCCCCTCTCCCCCTCTACTCCCCTTCCCCTTCTCTCTCCCGATGCCAGAGAACTTGCAGCCATGGTATTTCCTTTTCTTTTTTTTTTTTTTTTGCTTTTTCTCTCCCTCTCTTGTGAGAACCCTCGCTTTAAAATACAAATTCTCCCAAGTTACTTGCATTACTCTAAAACTAAATCACTTATAATATGTCCTTGCATTGCATTCTACATGCATTATAACATTTCCCTTGCATTGCATTTTATTATCTTTTACTTAAATTAAAACATTTCCTTTACTTGGTATTATTTTATTTCATCGCATACTCTATGACCAAATATTTTTTTATTGTGTTTGGAACTTTATATGATAGTTTAGGAGTGTTAATAAGACATTGGAAACATTTGGAGGATAGAAACACGATTTGACAAAGATTAGAGAGAGAATGATCAAGATTGAGACAAGTGGCAAAACCTTAGCCATTCAATCTTTTTGACCAAAGAATTAGAGGAAATTTAAACCATTCTTGGCTCCATTTTTCTTCATGTTGGCCGGCCACCTTGAAGTTTCCAAGGGAAGAGAGAAAACTCCCTTTCATGCCTTTTAAACCCTAACTTGATCTTGAGCAAAAATCAAAAGTGAAGGATTTGAATTAGTGGAGTGAATGACCTTCAACCCTAGTGTGTGATTTCAAGTTTGGAGCTTTTGGTTTGGTGGTTATTTTGGGTGATTCAAGCTTCTTATAAGAGAGGTATATGATCCTTAACTCTTGGTTTTATGGTGTTATATCAAGTATTTAAAGTTTTGATGGTAAACTAAGAGTTGTATGGATGTTACTTATAGTTAAATTTCTTGAACTAAACAAGTGGTAGTAGGGTTGGTTTTTAGCCTACCATATGTTTGATTAATTGTTAAAGTTTTGTTTATGATTTTCTTGATGTATTAACATGTTTTGGATCCTTTTTGAGTTAAGGATAACACTTGGTATGATGTTTAAGTTAGTCTTCATGAAAGGATGAAAGTTGATGATGCAAGTGAACTAGTGGACTGTTTTGCTCTCTCTTGGCTGACCGGTTTTGGAAGGGAGGTTTCTCCTTGATTTTGTGGTTCATTTGCACCTTAATTAAGCCTAGGAATCTTAGCTAAACATTGGTTTAAGGTTTGGTGTGAATTGAAATGGAAATAAAGCAAGTAAAGTGGTTGTTTTTGGGCCACTAGTGGACTGTTTTGGTTCTTGTTGTTGGCTAGACTGTTTTAGTTTACTTGATCATTTGGTGTGTTGCATTTAAGCTCAAATAGTACTAGGTAACATGATCCCCTGTATATGAACTCTAGGAGGTTGAATTGGATGAATTTGAGCCAAAACAAGTAAAGTTGGCAAGAGGAAATAGAGTAATTTTTGTTAGACTTTTGAGCTGATCAGAACCTAAAAATCAGCCAATTTCCCTGGATCACTAGTATTGATAGGAGAGGAACTAGAGTCTACATTTGGTACCGTTGGAAAGCCCTTCGAGTCTAGTTTCCAACGCTGCTAACGGCACATGATTTTGACTTTCCTACAGTGAACTATGACCGTTTTCCTCGAACTGCATGGGCGTGACTATTTTACCCGCAAAGAAGACTTTGAACTTGAATGAGAATTTTCTTTTATTCAACTTTCTTGCACTTGTCAAACTTGTTTTCTTATGACCTTTTATTGCATTTTGGGCCTAAATTGCATGGTGAATTGAGTAGATTTAACCACTCACTTGGTCACCTAATGAGTTAACATTTGGGTTGGAAATGAATTTAGATTGTTAACGATTTCACTCGTTACCCTAGGATTGGGAAACGGATGTGAACGTAATTAAGGAACTTGACGTTTGAACTCTACAGTTCTTGACAGGTGAGTGTTCCATTACCTGTTATCTGTCTATGTGAAATATCTGAATACTTGATCTATGACTGGTTGAGCTAAATGATTGTTTTGACAAATTTGAGGCGAGTGTGTACTTTATCACACTTGACCGTCTTTGATTTCATTGAGGCTCTATATACTGCTATTATGAGATGTGATTTCTCTATATTTGACTCTATGTGAGTTGTTTGGGTGGCATCCTAGCAACTATTGTGACTGTTTGGGTACCCAACCTCATAGGTAAATCGGTTGTATCGAGTTAGCAAGGGTTTGGTCGAGAAGACCGATAAATCCTGATGGCTATTTACTGAATCTAGATCCGGTATATTCGAGTATTACCTAATTACTGTTTGTGGTGTTCGGGCCCGGTAAGGAGGTTGACTGGTAAACGGAAATTGGAGTAAGTGATACTCTACAGACATTGTATTCTTTGAACGCAAACGTTGACGGAGAGTCAACGGATTCTTGTTATGATCAAACTCAAGTGAATTTGGCTTTTGAAAGTCACCTGTATCCTTGAATTGAACTGTGCTTTAATTGTTATAGTACAATACGGTGGTTATTTGTTTATATTACACCTTTAGTTGGTTATGTACTTACATGTTTATTTGGAACCTCACTGAGCATTAGCTCACTCCACTCCTTTTGTTTTCCTTAACAGATCGGGGATGGAACTATGGTCAAGAACTTTTATAGTTTTAACTTTTGTTTTGAACTTGTACTTTAGATTGTAAACTCTTGTTTAGAAGACCTTATTTTTGACTATTGTAAGCGTGAATTGTAAGTTCGATGTATATTATGTAAATTAAGTGTGAAATTGTAAGTTTGATACTTAACTCTATAGTTTAAGTTTTGAAAAGTAGTGTGGCAACTTATATTTCCATTAGGGTTTGTACTCCTTTCTTTGAAGATATTTCATTAGTTATCTTGAGTTACTAGTTCTTTCTTCGACTGAGCTCCGACGAGAGTTAGGTAGGCAGTCCGCTGATACCCTAGGGTTCGCCCTAGGGAGAGGTGGGGCTGTCACAAGTGGTATCAGAGCCTAAGTTTGAATTGGTTTGGGCGTATTAGAATTTTTTGACTTTAAGATTTCATTTGATCATTTTTCCTTAAGTGTGCTTAAGTTTTATCTATATTTTGTGTAGGATGGACGGACCTAGCAGCCCTAGTAATAGTCAAGGTGGAGGGCAGCCCCGTGCTCCATTACTGATGATTAAGTGTCAGATCAGGCCTAGAGTGTGATACTCCAACTTTTAGGATCATTTTTTGTTTAGTCTCAAACAGGATATTACGGTTTCTTTAGTTTTTTTTTATTTTAAAACATTATTTTGTTTTAAAGAAGAAACTAAAGTTATTTCTTTGGGTTCGATTTAAAACCTTGTTTTATTTTAAAAGCCTAGAAACCCTAAAAGTCTAATCAAAACCCTAGTTTCACTTGTGACTGACCGTTTTATCAAATTTCTCATATTTTAACCGAAACCCTACATTCAATTTATGAAATTGTAAAACCCCTCACGTATTTCTTAAAAATCCCCTTTTATTTGGAATTTATGATTTTATAATAGCCCTACTACCCAATCATACCACAATAAGTGTAAATAAATATAGAAGTAAGGGTTTTCGTTGTCCGTTTTCAAGTTAGAGCGAATTAGGGTTTTCACGTTTTTCCGTAGTGTGACTATTCGGTACAGAGTGAGAATCAAATTTGGTAGGTAAGAGTGACTTTTGGATGAGAAAATATTATATGATTAGAAGTGATAATAATAAGTTAGTGATTAGAAGTTAAAAACCCTAGTATACGTGGTTTAAGAAAAATCGGCTCGAACCGACGGGTATCGATCACCACCGATTGAACCCACCACTTGACCACCACCCCCTACCACCACATACCCTTGATATTTTTGCAAAATATCCCCCCCTCATCCTCATCCATATGGCTGAAAATTGTGGCCAAAATGCAAGGAAAAGAAAGAGAAACTTGGAAGGCTTTGGTGGTGACAAGTGTCAACCACCTATGGTTCCTTAGCTAAGACAAAGTCTCATCTTCTTATCTTCCATTTGAGTCCATTTTTTCCTCATTTTTTTCTAGTTTGGCCAAGAGCAAGGAGGGGGAAGAGAGTAAGGAGAGTTTTCCATCTTCTACCTTGAATCCAATCTCTTGAGTGCAACCAAGAAAAACTAAACCGATTAATCACTAGTTGGAAGCTTGGGAAGCTTAAGGAACCAAGAATTTCAAGGAGAGGTGAAGGATCATCCTTGCAAGCTTGTGTCTTGAGACTGTGACGGTCAAGCTCAGTAACTTGTATCGTTTTTCATGCCAAACTTTATCAACAGGGGGCTGACGTGGGGATCGCTCGAGAAGGTGGTTAGACTTTTGGCGATAGAATAGTTGAATTGTACTTGTTATAAGTTGACTAGTAAGATGTATATATTTGTCGTGGTGGTTATAGTTATCAGCTTTTCTAGGGTTTACTTTCGGGTATTGGTGGTATATATGACTTGATGTACTGGTTTAGGCAACTTTTGAAGATGTAATAGAGTAAATAGAGCTTTCTTTTGGCATGAACTCTATTTTCTAGTTCTAGAGCATCAAGTCCCGGCGAGAGTTGGGCAGGCGGTTCGTCGAACCCTTTGGTTCGCCTTAGGGTGAAGTGGGGCTGTCACACAGAAGAGCTACTATACATTAGAGTCCAACTAACCGCTATCGGCGTTGCGAATGCCGCCATACTTACGCCTATCCTAACCCAGTAGTTTTGGCGGTTGTGGAGAAGAGGAAGGCACTAGCGAAGGACAATGCTAGGTTTGAAGTTGAGATGAATCAACTAAGGGAAACTATAAATATACAAGCTGACTAGATTAAGGAACTTGAAGATGATGTAATCGAGGTCAAGAAAGGACTGACGATCTCTGCGCGTAATTTGGGGAAGCCCAGGAGAGACTGGTTAAGAGAACCATGAAAATGAGGACTAGAGCTGAGTCGACCCTGAATATTTGTGATGACCTACTTGGGGATTTGAGCGATGAAGTTTCTAATGTAGAAGGCGAGACAGAAATTGAACCTACCCAAAATGGGAGATTAGCTAGTCCCACGGCGGACTAAGTCTTGACTACTAGGTTACACTTTTGGATGATTTTGACCATTGTACATAGAAAGGATAGGGGAGGTGATGACTCGGTGGTTGTATAGTTTTCTTTTGGCTACTTACTCTGGTTTTTGTATGATATGGCTGGATGACTGTATCTGTACTTTTGAGGCTCGTACTTGATACTTTTGGCCTTGTTAGTTTGTAAATAACTACTATGAGCCTTTGAATGTATAATACTTTGACCTTGACTCTGATTTTGACTTTGACCTTAAACTTTGACTTTAACCTTATTTCGATTTTAGCATTTAACTGTTTTGTGTTTTCACTTGCTTATCGTGATTTCGACTTTATTTCCCTTTGACCTTCGATTACGCACAAGTATCTATTATATACCAATACTTGCTTACACCATTAGTTATAATTCATGAACCCTAGTCCAGTCAGAAATAATGGAGGGTAAACGACAATGTGGTCGGGCCCATGGGCGTGGACCCAGGCAAGAAGAGGAACAAAGATCTGTGGCGAATTAGAACCAAGGACCTGGAGGTGAAGAAGGGGACTAGATAGCTACAGCTATCAACTGTATGACTGATTTGTTAGCTCGACTGGTTGACCAGTAAGGTCAAGTGCCTGGTAATTAGCAAAGGGACCTTGAAGTGGGTGAAGGCAGGGCCCTGGAACAATTCCAAAAGTTTGCTTCTCCAAAATTTCTTGGAGGATCAGATCCCAAAACTGCCGAGAATTTGTTCGAAAGAATGGTGGATATATTTGCTACATTGCACTATATTGAGGAGAGGCAAGTGACTTTCGCGATTTTTCAGTTGGAAGGTGCAGCCCGTTCCTGGTGGAACGTAATAAGGGCAAAATGGGACAGGGAGCAAATTTCACATACTTGGTTTAATTTCACTAGGAAATTTAACGAGCAGTTCCTTCTGCCCTTAATTTAGGAGAAAAGAGAGGATGGATTTATCAAACTGCGCCAAGGCACTTTGAGTGTGGCAAAATATGAGACCCAGTTCACCAGACTCTCTAAATTTGCTCCGGAACTGGTGGTTAATGAGTAGAAACGCATAAGGAGAGGTTGAATGTGGAAATTCAAAAAGACTTAACTGCAACCCAGATTGATATGTTTAAAGATACGTTGGAGAAACCTCAACGAGTGGTGCAGATTTGATTTCAGGTTTGGACTTTTCAAGTAAAGAGATGAGGTGCATCTAGTAGTACTACCGGGCAAGGCGATCAGTATGTACCGCCTCCTGAGTTTAGAAGAGGTACGAGTGGAGTTCGTATCTCAGAGACACCGAGAGAAGCTCCATCCAGAGGGGCTCACAACGAGAGAGGACAACAGACTCCTTGAGTAAATTATGCGTATTGTGGTACGACGAACCACACCGAGGATACTTGCTGGCGAAAAATGAAGAAATGTCTCTGTTGCGGTAGTTCCAAGTATCAGATCGCAGCCTGTCTTGTTAAACTCCGTGAAGGGAATGAGAGTGTGCAGCTAGAAAAGTTAAACTCTAAACAACCTATTACCAGTGGGAGTAGACCAAAAGCTTCTATTAGGGTTTTTGCCTTAAACCATCAGCGAGCCCCTGAATCATCTGAGGTACTGGAAGATACGATCCTTATATTCCACCGCTTAACTAAGCTTTTAATTGACCCTGGGACAACTCATTCTTTTGTGAATCCTACCTTCATGTGTAGTATTGATATAAGTCCTGTTAAATTACCCTATGACTTGGAGGTTAGAACACCTACTGGGGATCAAAACCTAATTACTAACAAGGTTTACAAAAATTGTGAGATTTGGGTAGGAGAACGGAAATTGGTGGTAAACTTGATCAGTTTAAATCTCAAGGAGTATGATATGATTATAGGCATAGATTGGTTAGCTTGTTATAATGTTCAGTTGAACTGCAAGACTAAAGTGGTGGAGTTCTCTATACTTGGAGAGGCAACTCTAAGATTGGATGTGAGAGATAGATTAGCCTCGTCTGCACTTGTTTTGGGAATTTGAACCAGAAAATTATTGAATAAAGGGGCGCAGGGTTACTTAGCTTTCTTGATTAATACTCCTGGAGATAAGGTAAAACTAGAGAATGTGTTAGAAGTAAATGAATTTTTCGATATTTTTCCTGACGAGTTGAAGTCGATGCCGCCAGCGAGGGAATAGAATTTAAGATTGATTTGGTGCTTGGAACCGTTCCTATTGCAAAAATACCATACCGAATGATCCCGGCCGAATTTAAGGAACTAAAACTGCAGTTACAGGATTTGTTAGAGCGAGAGTTTATTCGAAAAAGTAAATCACCTTGGGGAGCGCTTGTTCTATTTGTTAAAAAGAAGGATGATAGTTTGAGACTATGTATTGACTATCGCAGTTTCAATGACGTCACGGTGAAAAATAAATATCTTTTGTAGCACATTGATGAGTTGTTTGACCAGTTGCAAAGAGCAGTAGTTTTCTCTAAATTGACCTTGAGGCAAGGTTAGTATCAGCTATGAATTAATTAGGAGGACATACCGAAAATTACTTTTAAATCCAGATATGGATATTTCGATTTTGTAGTGATGCCGTTTGACTTAACAAATGCTCCGGCTGCATTCATGGAGCATCAAGTTTTTAAACTTTATTTGGACCAATTTATCGTGGTGTTCATAGATGATATCTTGATATACTCTAAATCTTGAGAGAATCATGAATGACATTTGAGAATAGTTTTGCAGACCTTGAGAGAACACCAGTTATATGCCAAGTTTAGCAAATGCGAGTTTTGGTTGGATCAGATTTCTTTTCTAGGGTATGTAATATCTAAAAATGACATTTCTGTGGATCCAGTGAAAGTAGAAGCCATATCTGAGTGGAAACAGCCAGAAACCCCAACTGAGATCCGTAGTTTCTTGGGTTTAGCCGGATACTTGTGACAGCCCCACCTTCCCTTAGGGCGTGCCCTAAGGGTTAACGAACTATCTGGCCAACTCTCGCCAGAACTACTAAGTCGAAAGCACGATTACTAAACTATACGCTTGCATAAATATATACTCCCTCCGTCCCATTCATTTGATTATATTTGGGGAATCCAACTTTTTAAGAATAGTGGTTTGATTGTGATATTTGTGCTTCTCTCTAATTTTATCCCTCAAATTCAAATTTTAAATTTGAATGTATGATTAAAAAGAAAGGTTATATTGGAAAGAGAGTGCAAAAGTTGTTTTAACTTTTCTAACATGACAATTATTTTATGACATCCCAAAATGGAAAGTATAACCAAATGAATGGGATGGAGGGAGTACATTGGAGTCATTACAAGCCAAAATGTTATATTGGATCAAAATACAATTAGGGTTTTCTATTACAAAGGAGTTTAACAAAAGAATATCTATACTAGCTCGACTCTTTCTTCCAAATGTGTTATGATTTAATGAGAACTAGTTTATGTTTGACTTGTATGGTGATAATGTTATTTGTGCAAGTGATTCCATTTTTCTTTAAAGTTGTTACTGGTATGTGTGTGTAGTTCATATTATAGTTTAGTGTGAGATTTATGCATATGCATATAGATTAGATGTGAACATGGAAACTAGAGGACAACGGAAGGGACGTCAACCTAAACAACCCCAAAATCAAAGAGTGGATAATGGATCTGATATTGATCAAAATGCCGAGCCAAGTGCTGGGAGAGGAGATGACCAAATAGGATTAGTTTAAACTCGCATGACGGATGTACTAGAGCTCTTAGTAGCTCAACAGGGCCAAGGGGTTGGACAAGGAAACCAACGTGAAAACCAAGAGATAGGGGAGGATCGAATTTTGGAGCAGTTTCAGAAATTCTTTCCGCCTAAATTTTCTGGAGGACCTGACCCAGAAGTGGCTGAGAATTGGTTAGAGAATATAAGAAATATATTCGATACCTTGGACTACACAGAAGAAAGACAAGTCACTTTTACTGTATTTCAACTTGAAGGAGCGGTCCGAGCTTGGTGGAATGTTATAAGAAATAAGTGAGAAAGAGATCAAATTCCAAGGATTTGGATAAACTTTGTGCGTGAGTTTAATGGAAAATTTCTTCTTCCACTTGTCCAAGAAAAGAGAGAAGACCATATAAAGGTTCGTCAAGGAACTTTAAGTGTGGTTGAGTATGAAACACGTTTCACGAAATTATCTACATATGCTCCAAAATTGGTGGCTACGGAACGGAAGAGAATAAGACAGTTTATCCAAGAATTAAATTTAGAAATCCAGGATGCTCTTGCCGCAGTACAGGTTGAAATATTTAGTGATACTCTCGAGAAAGCGCAAAGGATAGAGAATACAAAATCTCAACTAAGAACCTTTCAAGCGAAGAAAAGATATGTATCTAATGGTACACTAAGAGAAATTGGACCATCACCCAAAGTTAGAAAAGAGATGGATAGAGTAAAACTATCACTTCCTTCACCACTTATGATAAAGGAACCAAAAGAAACTATGTCACGAGGAGTTCCAGTAGGACAGATACAATCAAAGAAAACCCGCAAGCAAGTCAAGTCACAATGCCTCGTCCAACTTGTGGATATTGTGGAAGGACGAATCATACGAAAGAAAACTGCTGGCTAAAGGGGCGAAAGTGCATGGGATACGGGAGCATCAACCATAAAGTTCACGACTGTCCATGGAGGTATTCACAAGAAGCTACTACTTCATAAGAAAATAGAACTGTCCCTCGACGAGTCAATGGAGGAGGAAACCGACCAGTAGTATCTGCAAGAACATATGAAATGATCATAGAACCGGATTCAGGGTTATCTGAAATTACGGAAGATATGAATTTCGAGAACGAAATTCTTTTTAAAGAGGGAAGGTTGTGAGGACCCGAATTTTTCATATTTTATTTTATTTTTCTGACTTAATTAATTATTTTCTCACCCGTTTTCTCTGAATAATTTATTTCAATCATTTTAAACTTATTTACATGGAATAATGTCTCAATTATATTTTTAACTCGTCTCGTTAGTAAAATTTAATTTTTGATAGCTTGTTATGTAAAAATAGTAAATATGCGTTTGGAAACAATAATCGAATCGAGAATACAATAAACTTGAAAAATTGAAGATTTGTACATTAGTCTTGAAATAGGTATTTTATACTTAAAGTATTCAAATATTAGTTAGTGATACTATCGTTATAAAAATTTCTTGGAAATTTCATTTTACCACGCACATATCAGAGATACGCGTTTTGCGCGCGCGATTAAATTGATGGATTTTAGATTTTATTCTTGGACTATTAAGAGTGAATAATAATAATATGATTGGAAGTGCATTAGAGATTTAGTGTACAAGTGAAACAAACTCGAAAGAAATCGAGCACGAAACACGCGCGTACGCGCGGGAGAGATGGTTAACTTTTGAACGAATCGTAGCCACACATTAAAGCTTCTCTTGGAAGCTTCATTTTGATCAAAACACTCTCTCTCTTGCCCTCATTCTAGCCAGCTACCAAGGGAAGGAAAACAACTCAAAGCTCTCCAAAATTCTTCACCATTTCTTCACAAAATCCTCACCCAAATCACCCCAAAATTTAGCTATAACTTGTAAATCACTTGGAGACCACCTTAAGCTAGGAAGAGAGCTTACTTTCCACGGTTTTGTTGAGGTTCAAGAGGCCAAAAATTTCTGCTTGTTTATCAAGAGAGGTAAATAACGATCAACTACCAAAATCTTAATTTGTGGAAGTTATATTACACCCATGAGCTCTTGAATTCTCATGGGCAGCTTTATTTATGTTGAAAAATTGGTGTGTGGGTTTTATGAACTCCTACTATGGTTTGATGGACAGATTTGTTGTGTTTGGAGTTATTAATGTTGGATTAGTGTTTAATCTAGTAGAAATAGGTTGTATTGTTGAAGGAAATTTCAAAGGAAGTGAAGGGGAGAATTTTTTCATTTTTGCCCCTATACATGCCGTGGCCCTTAGAGCAACTTTTTATGGTTCTAATGACTTGTTTATGATGTATACCTGTTGTGTGGGTTGTGTAGAAAGTTTCATAAAAAAAATTTCATGATTTGGTTGGCCAAATGATGTGTTTTCCGAAGTCTAGCAAAACTAGAAATTTTCCCATAACTGCTCTGACAGTGTTTTTCAAACGGCTATAACTTTTTGCTCCAATGTCAAAATCGAGTGCCGTTTGTGGCACTAAAAACTAGACATTCTCAGCTTTTCAACAGTATAAAATGCACATCCTGATTTCACCTGAATAGTTCATACCAATCATTTGAACATGACTGTCCTGTTTCGCATCTACATTAGGAGCTCTATTTTGAGCAGCGAAGTGATGCTCAAATATGAGTTACCTATGGATAGATTTTGAAAACAATTTCTTCTAAGAAATTGTAGTTTTATGAATTTAGTTTTCAATACCACTAAATGCTCGATTCCAAGTTGAATTGAGTGAGTTGTGGCCGAAATCCGAAATTGACTCAATGATTTGAAACCCTCTTTTTGGCTAGTCGAATGACTCTTTTTGAATTGGGACTTGTGATCTTGAAATTTTTGTTGTTAATCACCTACCAAATGTATCTTGGATATTTCTTAGACCTTTGTTTCATAAATGGGTCAGATTTGAATCGTTTTCATTGGGCAAAATGTTTGAAAAGGAAGAATGAAGCAAATGACAGATTGGTCTTGAAATTTTCTTGAACTTTAGTAGTTTAGTTCACTACCTTCCCATGTGAATTTTCAAATGAAATTTGGTAGAGGAGTCCTCATATGGAAGTTGAATTTTACCAATTTTGGTGTCAATCTAAGACCATTTCGATATACAAATGATGTCCCAAAGTTGCTCTTTGAATCTGAAAAATTTTCCTTTTCTCTTGGCCGAATGGTCAAATCTAATTTGGGAAGTTATATTTTGAAAACCTTGATGTCAATTACTTCAAAATTACTTAATGGATCTTTATGGAACATTAGTTTCAATATTTGAATTAAATGAAGTTGATTGTGGGGAACAAAGTTTCTAAAAAGCAAAATTGAAGTAC